GAAAGGCCCCGCAATTCTCCGATGCCTCTTTGCCTTAATTAGATCGAGCGTTCATAAGCTATGGGGAAATCTTCAATTTGAAGAGAAAGACCTCACAAGACAGGCACTCACAGCTCCACTCATTCATTCACCGGTTCAGACCATCAGTCCCTCTCCCAACCAGACGGATACTTATCAAGCTCAGCGCTGTGCTAGGGCTTTCGAGCGAAGGGCTCTATAGAGTTCCAAGGTCCGCATCGTGCTCTCCTGGAGGACAGCAGCCGACCGGCAGTTGAGAGCACAAGCTCCGGGGCAGACACATCTGAACTTGAATCCTGATTCTGCCGGGTGGCCTTTGGCAAGTTATTTAACCTCTCTGCCCTTGGTTTCCTCTTGGGGTTAATAATACCAACCGCCGAGGGTTGTCATCAAGACTAAGTGAGACCATCTGCACAAAGCATTCAGCACAGAGCACGGTACCCAGCAAGCCCGCCAGAAATGGACTTCCCAGTACCGTGCACTTGGCTGGCCAGCCAGCTCTAGGTGGGGGGTGGGGGGCTGTTTGAGAGGTGCCTTCCCTCCCCCTGGGGCTCAGCCCGTAACAGGGAGCCGGTGATGACATCCCCTGTCTCTGCCCTCCATGATACTGGAAGCCGACTGTTGACTGCTCTTAGTTTCTTCACCTCTAAAATGGGATACGGGTGGTGATCCCTCCAGAGGCCCCGGAAAGAGCATTCACCTAGAAGCCGGCAGCTGCACCTTGCTGGGGAAAGGACCGCAGGGATATCAAGTTCCAGCGCAGCCTCTGGCTTTGTCTTCAGTGCCACCGCAGCCCCGCGGGCTGTCTTTAATAATAGATATTTTAAAATTCCCGAACCCACTTCATGCTATATTTGCCCGCACACAGAGGTTTATTCAGTGTTAATCACATTAATCTGCTGTTTCATTGCACGCTGTGCGATGCCAACTTCAGGGAGAGCCAGGAGAGAGAATTTACTCTCAAAGGGCTTCGTGCTGCGTTCACCCAAACGGCGCCTTGTCAAGGCATCTCAGAACCCCAGGGACCTCTGGGCCACCCCCGCACTCCCCAGGGGTGCCCCGAAGGCTTACACAGCCTGCCTTTCAAGGGTCTCTCTGTATACGTTAGTTTTTACTCTCAATTAGAAATCTCTTAGGCAAGCGTCCAGTTTTTACTAGCTATCTCTAATTCTTAAACAATGCAAACACATGCTCTTCAGTAAAACTCCCCAGCAGGTGCCTGTCACAAAGGGCCCCTGAGTGCACTGGAGTGTGGAGGGTCCTTTGAGATCTCCCAGTATGACTCCTTCCTGTTACAGATGGAAAAACTGAGGTGAAAGGACTTAAATCTCTCCTCTCTTGGCTCCTTACTTAAGCCAATGAAGAACATTCATTCAGATCTTAAACACACAACCACACATTTGCCAATTTTTTCTTGGCCCCATGCCCCAATCTGCTTGAACCTCCCACTTGCCCTCGGGGTCCTGTCAGCCAGCTGCCAGCCCCAGATCTTACTTGGGTGAGGAAAATGGAAGGCATCAGACAGGAACATCTACCGTCAGTGACCCCCGTGGCCCAGCCCAGCATGGAACAGTGTCCCTCAGGCCACAGGCTGCCCTTCGTGTGTTGGTGGCCCTTGTCCGCCGCCTGCCTACCCAAGGACCTTGCCCCGCACCTCTCACCCGGTTCTGACTTCACCAATTTATCTTCCCATAGGATCATTCCTCTCAACATACATATGCACATGTTCCATTTAAAAAACTTTTTTTTCATTTTTAAAAATTATGTTTAAAATCCTGCCTTGACGTCACGTTCTGCTCCAGCTCCTGTACCATTTCTCTCCTTCAGAATTCTGTGGTTTCCCTTTCCTCATCACCTGCCGCTCACTTTTTCTAAGTTGCCTTTTTCCCCACTTTTTTTCGAGGAAAAACATAAGCCTACAGCAATGTTGAAAAGTATTAAAATACCCTCGGCCTAGCCACATTTGCTTTTCTTTTCTCTAATAGATAACATACCTATATATAGTACATAACATATATATAGGTAATAGATGCATAAATGAGTATCTACAAATTATGTATATAAATACCTGTAGGTGGGCATGTTTAGTTTTGTTGCTATTGTTGAATCACTGGGAAGTTGCAGGCATCCTGCTCCTTCACCCCTCAATACTACAATAAATACTACAATGTGTGTCTCCTAAGAGCCAGGATACTTACACTTAACCACGGACCATTATTACAAGAAATTGAATGCTACTACCATATTAACATAAGGTCCGCTTTCACAGTTCTCCATTTGCACTGAAAATGTCCTTCATAATTATTTTTTAATCCAGATTCCAGAAGGATGAGGCCCGCCCCAATTTAACATCCAGATTAAACCTCCACCCAGATTGTCCAAGGTCAGGGTAACTTCATTACCAAATCTAAAGGCTCTTTCTCTGGCCTCAATGGGGGTTCAGCCAGGGCAGTCTCCTCTGGACTTCCAGGTCACCACACAGTCCTTTCCTCCCACGTTCCTGCTCCTTCCCCTATCCCGGTCCTCTGATTGTCCTCCCCAGTCCTCTGTGTTGGGCCCTCCTCCCCAGCTCCCAGGTGGTCTCATCTATGCCCATGGTTTTAGCACCAGCGGCCGATTGATGCCACCCACATTTCCAGCATCCAGGGCCAACCCATTATAACCCATCTCTCCCCAACTCCAGACCGATGTACCCCACTGCCTTCTTCTTGGCCTCTCCCCTCGGACATGCCAGCAGCGCCTTCAACCTGATTATGTCCAAATGTTAGCCCCGATGTTTCCCTTCTCTGCCATCTCAGTAACAGCGTCACCATCACCCACTTACCATTTGGTCCTGATTCTCTCCTTCCTTGCACCCCGCCCCCCCACCCCGCCAGGGTCCTGCCTCGATTCACGCTCCCTCCATCTTGTCGGCTACCACAAAATCTGGTTCCACCCTTAGTGGCCTGGACACCCCCGGGGCTTCCAAACTGCTCTCTATCCTTTCCCCACCCCCACAATGCATTTTCCAGCTCTGTTAATGTTTTAAAATATAATCCAGGTGGGGCCACTCCCTCTCTTAAAACTCTTCTACAACTTCTCAATGTATTGAGAGAACATCCCAAATCAGCAGGGTTCATGAGGCGCTTGGTGGTCTTACGAGCCCTGGCTCTTTCGGATCCTCCTCTACCATTGCTCCTGGTGACCCCACCCTGGCCTCCCTCGGGCCTCTTGTTTGTACGGATCTTTGGCCTCTGCCTGCCACGCTCACCCGGGATCCCAATGGCTGCCTGGCCTTCCGCCTTCATGGCAGCCGACTGCTCCGAAGCTCACACCGCCCGGATCCGGCCGCCATCCTCAGCGGCCCTCTCTCCGCGACGTCCTGGGAAGGGCTCTGATTGGCTTAGGCAGTGTCACATGCACACCCCGTCCAATCAGAGGCCAGAGAGGTCACTGGGCAGAAACACGGCAGCCATGGTGCCCTAGTTCCTCTGGGGTTGGAGGGTTGCGAGTGGGAGCTTTTGCTTGCGAAGGGGTTTGGGTAATGAACTGGGGTTTACTGTCTCTGTCTCTCTGCTCAGTGTTCAGTGCGCTGCGCTGGTCAGCAGCGCTTAACCTACTGGGGACTGCCCCTTTTATTTGGTCAGTGAAAAGTTGTTTTAAACCAGTATATAGTTACTGATAAAAGAATTTAAAAATATAGAAAATTGTGGGGAAAGAGACCCCAGATCTCTACCAGCTGATGACAACCACTGTTAGCCTTCTCTGGCTGTGCTGTCCTCTCTCTGAACAAGCTCCAGTCACAACCTGAAGGTCCCCTCTCCTGGCAGCTACCTCGGAGTGCAGTTATGAGTCCCCCTTTTTTTTTCTTTAAAGATTTTATTTATTTGAGAGACAGTGGGTACCTGAAGCGGGGTGGGGAGAGAGAGAGAAAGCATGACCAGGGGAAGGGGCAGAGAGAGGGAGAAGCAAGCTCCCCGTTGAGCAGGGAGCTGGAGGTGGGGCTCAATCCCAGGACCCTGGAATGATGACCTGAGCTGAAGGCAGACGCTTAACCGACTGAGCCACCCAGGAGCCCCCCCCCCCCCCCCCCCCCCCCCCCGCTTTATTTATTTTTTTAAGGAGGCTCCGCCCCCAATGCAAAGCCTGACCTCAACACCCTGAGATCAAGGCCTGAGCTGAGATCAAGAGTTGTTTCAGATCAAGAGATCTTACAAGCAACCCTTAGTTCTGATTCCTCTTTTTTTTTTAAGGGAGAGGGTGGGGCAGAGAGGATCTTAAGTCCCCTCCATAGCTATCTTGGAGCCCATGGTTTTATCTCACAACCTCTGATATTATGACCTGAGCTGAAATCAAGCGTCAGATGCTTAACCAACTGAGCCACCTCGCTGCCCCCAGTTCGGATTCTTAACCCCATTTTTTCTAATTCTCACTCATGCCCTGCAGTGGTTTCAACCACCACCTTTGTGCTGATGATTCCCTCCTTAAATCCTCTCCTGCCTATTTCTTAGTTACAAATTTTTATCTGTCTGTTGGTCCTGGCATGTCCATGAGATGCCTGTGGGTGGCTCAAACTATAGGCTCGTTACTCTCCCTCCATATCCTCAAATCTCTTCCTCTTTCTCTTGATTGAAACCCTAATTATAGCATCAACATTCCCCCTATGGTTACAGCCAGAAAATTCCAGATTATTCTCAGTTTCTCTCACTCCCTGCTTCCCTTACCTCATAACCATCGGCAATCCTATCCATTGTACCGGTTAAATGTGGCTGGCCCTGTTCCAACCTTTCTGCCCTCAGTTCCACAGCATTGGTTCATTCCCTCTTGTTGGAACTAGTGGAATCTTCTTTCTGACCTCCCTGGCACTGGTCTCCCCTGCCCCTGCATCACCCCCCCCCACCCAACACACACACCCTTTCATCCCCTGTGATGATCTCTATGATTTGGGGCCAGAGGTAATTTTCTTGAATGCCCACGCAATTATTTTGTTGTCTTCCTTTCAGTTTCTGCAGTGGCCCTCTGCTGTCCACAGGATTAAGGCCCAACTCCTCAGCCTGGCATCTGAGGCTCCCACAACGTGTCTGGGAGGAACTGACTGGAAGACATCTGTAATTCTCAGGAGACACTCCAAGACCTGCCCCACGCAGGACACCCACAACGTTGTCCTCTTGCTGCTCCTCCGTGTAAATGGGTCTTTGTGAAATTCCATTCTTTTGATCAGACACTATCACTTCATCCCCATCCACCAGGAAAAACTTCGCCCTCAGGGCACTTGGGTGGCTCAGTCAGTTAAGAGGCTGACTCTTGATCTCAGCTCAGGTCATGATCTCAGGGTCCTGGGACTGTGCCCTGCATCGGGCTCCCCACTCGTGGAGAGTCTGCTTGAGATTCTCCCTCTCCCTCTGCCCCTCCCCCCGGCTCTTGCGCAAGCCCTTTCTCTCTCCAAAATAAATAAATCTTTAAAAAACAAAAACACTTCACTCTCCAAGACCCTGCCTGAGGGTTACCTGCTTGTGACATCCACCCTGAGAAGCCCTGTTTTTCTGTGCTCTGGGAAAATGGAATTTATAGCAAGAAACATATAAATAGAAACCACTTCTGTAAGAATAAATGCAAAAGGCTAGATTTTGTTACTTGAAGCCCTGGACGCTGCCATGCCAAGCTCCTCCCCCACAGATATCTTGCCCAGTTAGACCCCCTCCGCCACGTTCATATATAAATGCTAAATACTTCACCCAACACTTCTCTCCACAAATGTTTCCCTGAGGCAGTGTGAGTTGGACAGAGAGGGAAGGTGGAGTGAGAGGTCACGCACATTTAGCTCTACTAGCTCTGCCCCTGCATCTGGGGGGCTGATGCCAGCGAGATTGCATTGTGATGTACACGGGTCCTGAGCATTTCTGCTTTCGCGGGTCCTTTCCTCCCTTCCAAAAAAAAAAAGAAAGAAAGAAAAAACAACTTTCTGAACTGTATCACACATACATGTTGATACAAAAACAAACATAAGGCTGCATTCACGATCGTATATTCATTAGTGTTACATTTTTTATTTTCTGGTTTTAAAATAAATGAAAATGAAGGGGCACAGTCTGCTAAGGGTCCAAATCTTGGTTCAGCTCAGGTGGTGATCTCAGGGATGTGAGACTGAGCCCCGTAGTGGGTCTGCCTGAGACCTCCCCCTGTACCCCCCCCACCCCCGCTTGTGCATGCACGCCCTCTCTCTCTCTCATAAATAAATAAATCTTTAAAAACAAACAAACAAACAAACATTTCCCAGGGACCCTGAGGTATCACAGGCCTGAGGCACTGTGCCCTAGAGAATGTGCTCTGTACCTTATGGAGAAGCTGACCTTGACTAAGGGCAAATATCCCAAATTTGTTAAAAGCCTGAAGGTCTTACCTCCTCTTCCTCACAGCTCTTTGGGACCTTAGGGAAGAAACGTAGATTAGTGATCCTGCTTCCATCTCATACACACTCACACAACAACACGTTTATTCTCTCCAGGCCGAGGGACAAACCATTGATACAACTACTAAATACGCAACACAGAATGACACGTACCTTACACGAAGGAGTCATTAAAAGCAGAACAGCCCACTGAAGCTGGCATCTGACGCTGTTCCCTGCGAGGAGTTGGGTTTGTGTGATGGGGCTACCAGGGCTGCCAGATCATGTGTATTCTCTCACTTAAATCCAAGTCACAGTTGCAGAGATAGACTCAAGGGAATCCAGTAACTGGGCCAAGATGGCACAGAGAACTGACCCAATGGTGACTCCAGCATCTCACCCTCTGTCTGTGCTCTCATGAGTTGTTCTGGACACTTGGGAGTTTGAGGTGCCCAAAGGCCTTCCAGTGGAGAGGTCTAGGAGGCATTTGGATAAACTAGTTCAAGGCTCAAGTGAGAGCCTTAACTTATGACACAGATTAGGGAATTATCCAAGCATGGGTGGCCTCTGGCGATTCAAAGCAGACCACCTCATTCATTCGTTCGCTGTGCTGGTTTCTCTGTGTCACGGGGCCAGACGGCTGGTTTCCCTAGAGCTGTTTATGTTTTTTAAACAGATTTATTTATTTATTTTTTAGAGGAGAGACAATGCACATGTGTGGGGAGAGGAGCAGAGGAAGAGGGAGAGAAATCTCAAGGCAGACTCCCCGCTGAGCAGGTGAGCCCACGAGGGGCTCGATCTTAGGACCCTGAGCATCTAACCAAGAGTTGGATGCTTAACCGAGTGAGCCACCCAGGTGCCTATTTCTGTACCTTTAAACTGTTCTGACTGGTCCTCGTCTTGGGAGCTGGGCAGCCTTGCTCCCTTGGTGGCTCTTGCTCACTCCTCTTTCAAAGGGATGGCTGGTTTCTGAGAGAAGTTTAGGGGGCATCTTCCATCCACAGCCTCGGGGCTTCCATCTCCAGACCCACTACTCCTTGCTGGATGAAATGACAGCATTGGACTTTCTTCACTTTGGTGATATGCTCTAGGGACCCAGTTCCTGGGTGACATTCTATGTACCCACCCACCTGAGAAATATTCACTGAGCACATTCTATGTACCGGACATCGTTGTAGGTACTAAGGACACAATTTTGATCAAAGTAGACAAAATCCCTGACCCCAAAGAGGTCATATCATAGTAGAGAGGCAGGAGACAGATAATAAAACATTAAGAGCGATGCTGTATGTCAGGAGGAAGATAAGGCCATATGATGTAGTAGGATTGAGGGCCGGGAGAGAGGGCTCTAGGGGGTGGTGGTCAAGGGTGTCAGCAGAGGGGCGCCTGGGTGGCTCAGTGGGTTAAAGCCTCTGCCTTTGGCTCAGGTCATGATCCCGGGGTCCTGGGATCGAGCCCCGCATCGGGCTCTCTGCTTGGCCAGGAGCCTGCTTCCCTTCCTCTCTCTCTGCCTGTCTCTCTGCCTACTTGTGATCTCTGTCTGTCAAATAAATAAATAAAATAAAAAAAAAACTGTATTAAGAATAGCAAATGTTAAGCTTATATATAAAAAAAAAGGGTGTCAGCAGAGAAGGACTCTCATGAGTCAGGGGATATTCGAGTTGAAATCTGGGCAAGGAGAAGACACAAGTCATGGACAGGTGGGGTAAACGCAGGGCCCTGAGGGCAGGAGCAGCAAGTCCTGAGGGGTCTGGGCATGGCCTGTCTGGAAAGCCCACTTGACAGGAGAATGGAGAAGGAGCTTGGAAAGTCAGGAAAAGCAGAGGGCAGGCAACGGGTCCTGCCCCGGCCAAGAGGGCCCCACCCAGAGCAGCCGAGGGTCCACAGATAGGTGGGAAGGGACAAGTAAGTCTAGAGAACACCACTCCTTCCTAAGAAAGGAGAGAGAGGGAGGAAGAAGGAGCAAGAAGGAAGCAACAGCAAGACTGGCTAAGCAATTTGCCGGGACCTTTGTTAAAACTTACCAAGAATTTCCAGATGGCAACAGCAAGAGCAGTGAGCCTTACTGGGGCCCTCTGAGTGTGGCCGGTGGGACAGAACAGGACCCGGCCTCTGCTGCCGGCCCCCTCCCGGGAAGATAAGGCGCAGGTCCTCCCTGCACCCCAGGGGGCTCACAGACAGGCCCCGAGCACAGGGTCAAGGTGGCAGATTACGTTTCTCTCTTTTCATGAAAATGTTGCAAATTGTACCATGTTGTCAAACCAACACAATCGCCATAGCTGATTTCGTGGCCCCTCCATAATCATGGGACACTTCTGAGAGTTGCGATGTTTTCTTTTCCCCTGGGGGGGGTGGGTAGAGGGGGGCCGGTACCCTTTCTCCTCCCTCCGCCTGCACATGGCAGGCTGTGGGGCTGACCTCTGAACAGGCGAAGCATTTTCCAGACAGGCGCAGTAGGCTGGAGCCAAGAATGTTTAAACCCAGGCACTATGTCAAATACCATTTATATCAAAACACCCCTCCTTAATCTAGGCTAATTACCTTACAATTAACACTCGTCATCTGACCTTGGTAAACCATGATTCCCCACCCTGAACATTGGAGTTCCTCATCTGTAAAATAGAGATAATTACACTAGATTTCACAGGGGTGCTGTGGGGATTAAATCATATGAAAAGCTTTTTAAAGAGTATTAAGGTCTAAACAAATGTCTGCTAACATGCCCACAGATCCGCTCAGCAGCAGCTCACGGGGCGGGTGCGGGACCTCGGTTTGCCGGGAACCTTGAGGCCACCTGACTCCTGGGCTCTAGTGTATTCTTAACCATGAACTTCTGATCTTCAGTTTCTCAAGTAGCTTCCTTTCCTGGGGGGAGTCCTCTCGCCTTTCAGTCATGCTTGTGGTCAAGATCAATAATCCTGGCTTATGTGCCAGGTTCTTGCGAGTCGGGCTGGCTTTGTAATTTTTTTTTTTTTTAAAGATTCTATTTATTTATTAGACAGAGAGAGGGAGAGAGATCACAAGTAGACAGAGAGGCAGGCAGAGAGAGGGAGGGGGAAGCAGGCTCCCCACCGAGCAGAGAGGGTTAGGGTTCAGGGCCTTTGGGCAGTGATGGCATCCAGCTAGAACTTATAAGATTCTTTCGTTTTCACTGTATTTATTTATTTAAAAGATGTATTCATTTCTTAGAGAAAGAGAGAGACAGCACTGGGTGGGGAGAGGCGGATGGAGATGGGGAGAGAATCCAAGCAGACTCTGCACTGAGTACAGAGCCCAACATGGGGCTCGACCTTATGACTCTGAGGTCAAGACCTGAGCCAAAACCAAGAGTTGGATGCTTAACCCACTGTGCCATCCAAGTGTGCCTCATTTTATATATATATGATATATATATATGTATACTTATATATGTAATATATAGGTATATATAATATAATTAATATATAAATATATTTATTTTAAAAAATACCATCCTGGGGGCACCTGCATGGCTCAGTGAGTTAAAGCCTCTGCCTTCAGCTCAGGTCATGATCCTGGGGTCCTGGGATCGAGCCCCGCATCGGGCTCTCTGCTCAGCGGGGAGCCTGCTTCCCTCTCTCTCTCTCTGCCTGCTTCTCTGCCTACTTGTGATCCCTCTTTCTCTCTCTGTGTCGAATAAATAAATAAAATATTAAAAAAAAATACCACCCCGGGTGGCTCAGGGATTTAAGCAGCTGACTTAAATTCAAGAATGTAAGTTATTTTATTTTTATTATGATTTTGTGGGCGAGGGGCAGGAGGAGGAGAGAGAATCTTAAGTCGCTCCACACCCAGCGTGTGAGTCCAATGGGGGGCTTGATCTCACAACCCTGAGATCACGCCCTGAGCCTGAATCAAGAGTTGGACTTTTAACCGACTGGGCCACCCAGGTGCCCCAGGATATTTTAAGTTTTAATGACGAAATCCAAACTCAGAGGAAGGAAGGTGGGGAATGAAGGACTGAATGCAATTTGGAGGCTCACCTTGGGGTGAAGCTGCGGAGTTCGAGCCTTTGTCGAGGCTACTGGCTTCTGTGTCTTAGGTCCCCCCTGCTGGGGCCCGGGATCTGACTGTGGCTCTTTGCTCGGTGACTTGATCACACACTTGGTTCCACTGACTACAGGTGAGACAATGTCCAATCTTGGACCTAGAAATTTATGGAAATGATGTGAGCTGGCCACGGCGCACCGCTGCAGTTTTTACCCGTGAAACTTACTGCCAGGGCTTCTTCTACCGCCTCCCCAAGGTCCCCACATCAACCTGCAAGCCAGCTTCAGAAGCGTAGGAAAGAGCCGGCGACGCATCAGTGCAGCCGGGCTCTGAAAATAGCAGCTGAAGCCACAAACCAGAGAATAGACCTTTGTGAATAGAGTGAAAGAAGCAGTTTGCCCCGGGCTCATCTTTTAAGCCACAGATACAACTCCTCGCTATTACTAAAATAACAAAGTAAAGGTAGGAATCAGCTGGAGAAAATTAGAAAGTAGAATGTCTTAATACATTAGCTTTTCCTTTCCTGATTAAGTTTCCAAGGCCCTAATTTGCCTGCGGAAGCCCAAGAGAGTGAACTGACCAGAAGGCAGGTCATGGAGTCAACGCAAAGCAGAGGTGTGGCCACGTCCACAGAGGCCAGGCTCTGGATGAAGCAGATGAGGCCCGGGAGATTAATGGGTTCACAGGGCAAGAGCTGGCACTCTCCAGGTGCCTGACCCTGGGTGCCACCTTTGCCAGTGTGGCTTTACTCCCGTGGTTCCAGAGCACTGGTCTCAAATTAAACTGTTATTCATTTTCCAAACACCATCAAATTTATCTCCTCAGCCAAATTACGACTACGTAGGCAGAGCAGCAGGTTTCAGAAACTTCTCCATTCGACCCGAATCTAAACCACAAAACTTCCTGAGCAGCTTCACACGTGGAGCTGCCTTCCCAGCCAGCACAGCATTTTTCTTGCACCAAGAATATCAAGAGATCAGACCTGAAAATACAAAGTACCAACTGGGGGGTGCCAGACGGGGAGGACGGAAGAAGTGAAGAAGGGGGATGAAAGGCATAGCCTTGGGAACAGAGTCAATGCGACTAGAGGACTGTTGTATGCTCACATTGGGAGCTCCACACAGCATAATGCAGAGCTGTTGAATCACTGTGTTATACATGTGAAACTGACATAACGTTGCTTGTTGACTATATTAAAAAAAAAAAAAAAGAATACTAAGTGATACTTTTGGGAGTCAGACCTATTGTCTGGACGGTCTATGTGTTTTTGAGTGGCACCAAAGTCATACTCTAATCATTTCTTTTTTTTTTTTTTAAGATTTTTTGTTTATTTATTTGACAGAGAGAGGAGACACAGCAAGAGAGGGAACACAAGCAGGTGGAGCAGGAGAGGGAGAAGCAGGCTTCCCACTGAGCAGGCCCCCGATGTGGGCCTCGATCCTGGGACCCTGGGATCATGACCTGAGCCGAAGGCAGCTGCTTAACGACTGAGCCACCCAGGTGCCCCGCCATACTCTCATCTTTCCCTGACCATATTTAATTTTCCTCTGACCGTTACTAGTGATTCCAAGGCTAAAAAGTTATGCTGAGTCCCTTACGGAGTTTGAGGTAGCTTGACAGATTAAAAAGTCAGAGAGAAAGGGAAGAGAGCTTAGCAGATGACAGAGAAGAAAAGAGAGCAACAGGCAGGAAGAGGCTCATTTTTTTTTATACTTTAAGCCCAAAGCCCAAGCCCGGTGGCCCGAAGATGGAGTAAAACCTCTTCCTGTTACTTTGAAGTGCCTCAGAGATGCCAAAGGAAGGTTTTAGTGGATCATTTAATATATCTGTTCTTGCTTCCAAAAGATAAATGAAATACCATCACCTCCATTAAGTGATCAAGGTTACCACCACCAGCAGGGTAATTCAATAGGATGTAGTGGGTGGAGCACAGAACCACCAATATTCCTGCCAGAAATGTGTAACTGGAACCCAAACCCTGAGAAAACATCAACAAACCCAAACTGAGAGACAGTCTGCAAAACAGCCTGCAATCTTCAAATGTCAAGGTCCTTGAAACAAATGTGGATTGTTCCAGACTATAGGAGACAGAGACAGGACTACTCAGTGCAACATTTTTCTGGTGATAGAAGGTATTATTGGGCTCATTGGGAAAATCTGTGGATGGTAGTGTTTTCAGGTTTATTTTTACTTCTGATGGATTTATTTGGTGATATAGAACATCTTCAGTTATGGGAATTACACATTAAAATATGTAGGAGTATTGGGACATCGCCTTGCAACCCACTTAATCTTAAAAGATTCAGAAGAAAATGGCCTATTCTTGTAATATTCTTGGTAATTGGTTACTTTTAAATTCAAAATTATCAGGGGCATATAGGTGGCTCAGTTAAGCATCCAACTCTTGATTTTGGTTCAGGTCATGATCTCATGGTTGTGAGATCGAGCCCCACCTCAGGCTCTGAGCTCAGTGGGGAGCTGGCTTGAGATTCTCTTTCTGCCCCCTTCCCAGCTCCCCCATCCCCGCTCTCTTTCTCTCAATCCTTAAAGTTCTCTCAATGCCTTTTGTGTCAAACATTTAGAAGCACAATAAAAAAAAAAAAGACAATTTTGCTAAAAGTCAAAATTCTTTTAATTTTTTATAAAGAGGTTATAAGGGAAACAGTGCTTAAAATTCCATAGAACTAAGGTTAAGTGGAGACCATAACCAAATAAATACACAACAAGGACTCGTTTTGACGCTCTTTAAAGCAGTGTTTTTATCCAAAGAAAGATGGTTCTTCTTGATGTGTTTCTCGTTGAATGAAACTTTTATTGACCTTTGTATATATCAAATGCCTAGCTTACGTAACTGAACTCTGAAATAATTTAATGTGATTCACAGTCAAATGACATGTTATTGATAATACATAATAATGTCTTGATTTATTATATTCATATGTAATAAATTCTTGATGCCTTTAAGTTCATCATTTCCATGACCATTTTAGTTATGATAAATTACAAAATGGCAAGGAAGATTCTGAGGGAGCCTCTGGGTGGCTCAGTGTCAAGCATCCGACTCTTGATCTCAACTGAGATCTTAATCTTAGGGTCGTGAGTTCAAGCCCGGTGATGGGCTCCATGCCAAGCACGGAGCCTACTTAAAAAGATAGAAAAAGAAAAAAGAAAAAGAAAAAAACCCCACACAAAACCTTAAGGAAAGTATATAGTAAAGGGCTTCACAAATAAGGGCAATTATTAGAATAAAAAAAAAAGATTTGTTCGAGGTTCAAGGTTCAAGTCTGAATCCTTGAACTCAGAAGATCAACGAGACACCGTTTGTGAATGTTCTTTCTTAAAAAACCGCCGATGAACTCAGTATCCTGTCAGCAACGGGTGGCTCTGGGCCAGCACCAGACACAAGAGGCTTGCGGTATTTGCACTGAATCCAAACCCGGTACATTGTCAGCTGCTTCCCTCGGTTGACTTGCAGTCGGCGATCCACCAGGTTCTGAACCTTTTCCAGTCCAGCAGCAGTGAAAAGCGTGTCCAGCTCCTCTGGTTTGGAAAAGAGATGTTTATGTACTTCCCGCTGAAGAAAAAACATTGTCTACCACTTCCTATGTTTAATGGGGCTCTGTGAGACCATTTTTATTTATATTTTTCAAGTGGCTTGAGCCAGGCTGTTTATTTATAAGTGCAGTAGCAGCTTGGTAACAGCAAGCTCGCATTTAAATGGGGGAACACAAACCATCTGCGAAGGGCAGCTTGATATCCAGAGGGAGAGCTGAAGAGTCAGCTCAGGGGAGGAATGTTCCAGAAGGGCTTTATGGACACCTGAAGGTGACATGCAAAAATCTACACAAATGTAATAACAAAGCCACTTTTTTAGGGGTGAGGTTCTGCCACTTTCACCCACGGCTCAAAAAAGCAACACAATAAAGGGTCCCGGAATGGCAGTGGGCATGGGAGGCAGGGCTGGTCACCAAGGAGAGCCATTCTGGGCTACAGCTGGAGCCGGGGAGCACAGGCCTGGCTCCCGGCACCTATAGGATGACCAAGTCTGCAGGGTGACACAAGTTGCACTGAAGTCTCGCAAAATGGGACAGCTTTCCTGTTTGGGACAGAGTGACAGGGAGGAAGAGGAGACAGCAGAAGGGCCCTGTGGAGGGCGGAAGGCTCCTGGAAGCAGTGAGCGGGTCCCAGGCAGCTGAGCAGAGGGGGATGAACGGCAAGAAAAGGCTGCCAAAGGCGGGAGGGGCCCCCCAGTCTTCCCTCTGAGGGCGAACGGAGCAATGTCCAAGCTGGTGTCTGGTGGACACTGGCGCATTTAAAGAGGAGCGTTTTTGTACCTTGTGTGAAGAAGTAAACTCTGGTGCCGTCCCCTCTCACATAGAAACTTTCGGACAAACACTGACCTGCAAAGCGAGGTGATAAAAATCAGAGAAACTTTCCAGCGCTTCTTTGACTCTCACTGCCAGTCCCATGTGCAGCACTGACACCGATTTCTTGGGCAGAGAACAGAAGGCCTTCCTCGTGACGCTGGGCGCCTGTGGGCTCGTGCTGTGGACACGGGCAGCCCCGGGGGCGCCCAAACCCCAGTGCTCCGTCCCGCGGGCCTCAGCCTTCTCGTCTAGAGCCGGTTCGTGCTGCAAATGTTTTGCCCCCTCCCCCATTCAATAAATACCACAGACTCTTTGTAAAACAAAATAAAAATCAGTCGATCGATCAAAGCCACAGACTGTAGCTAGACCAACGGGGAGGAAACCTGAGCCACCATGACCGTTCCCCACATCTCTCCACACGGCCACACACACTCACGGGTACGGTCCGTGTGCCCTCCCATTAGCCAGCACGGCCTCTGACCTAACGTCAGCTTACCAGCCTGCTAGGTAATCCTACACCTCTGGAACGTCACTATGACCTCACTTGCTTTGCTTATTCCTCCCCAGCCACTCTTGTGCGCACGAACCAGTTGTAGACAGTCACCCCGCACACTGCTTTTCTCGTCTGGGAAGGCAGGACAGAGACCCCCCCCAGGACCACTGGTGTGGGGTCCACCTCACGCGTCAGGCGCGATGCCCCCCTTCCACAGAGGCATTCACTTTGTTTCGAAGACTTTGCCTAAACCCACATTACGTGCTAGTTCTTGAGTAATTCCCCAAAGGACTGTTAGACTGAGTAGATAACACCAGTGTGCTTAAAAAAACAAAACGGGGGGCGCCTGGGTGGCTCAGTGGGTTAAAGCCTCTGCCTTCGGCTCAGGTCATGATCCCAGGGTCCTGCGATCGAGCCCCGCATCCGGCTCTCTGCTCGGCAGGGAGCCTGCTTCTCCCCCCTCTCTCTCTGCCTGCCTCTCTGCCTACTTGTGATCGCTATCTGTCAAATAAATAAATAAAATCTTAAAAAACAAACAAACAAAAAAAAACGGAACAAAACAAAAACAAAACCCAAACACCATTTAACAACTTGTTATTTCTACCAGTAATGGAAAAGTGTATCTCCTTCTTTGAAATGGCCAGCAGTAGGTTTAAGAAGTGGTTATCTCACTCTTAAGTTTTGTTACCTTTGTTTCTGGCCACTTGGATCTGCCCTTCGGTGAATCAACTCTAAAATTTTCCTTCCTGTTGTTTTGGGTGGGAGGCCGATCTTCTCCTTATCAATTTGCCAAGAGGCCCTTGAAGAGCAGAGATAATAACTAAGTCTTCATCTGTTCTAGACACGGAAATGTTTTGTCTTTCAATTTATGAATGGCATCTTGGGCCATGCCACATTTAAAATTACTTATGTAATCAAATCTTTTCCCCAAGGTAGCTATTCTGAAAGTAGCGGTCTTGGTTAAGGGATCCCCCCAATACCTAGAGGAAACCAGTCTTCAAAAACATACCACTCTCATCATGTATTAGGTGGCTTTATACACGCAGCTCTAATTCTAGAGTTTCTATGCAATTTCACGGACTTACAGGTCTAGTCTGATGGCACAACTGTTGCTTTGGTTATAGCAGTAAAATACCTTTTTTAAACCGAAGCTGCGCCATGTCGTAGCGGCCATAGTCTCGCAGAAGCATCATCCCGCCGGGCTTCAGCAGCCTGCTCAGCCTGCCGATAGCCTTCTGCATCCTGCGGGCCAACAGAGAATGAATATCAGGTCTCCTCAAGGACAGCATTCCTCTTCCTTGCAGCATGCCTGGAATAGCCAGCGGACTTCCTAACCCTGACACACATGAACCCCGACATTTCTGCTCCTCGCTTCGGTGACAATGGGGGCACACACCCTGCTTCTCAGGTGCCTTCGGCTGTCCGCTCACGGACATGGCTTTGACCCACTCCCTTCGATATGCAGAGGCCTGAGGATAACCTGCCTCTGCTGGAGGGCTCCAACTTCCATACTCTGCGGCTGGTTCACTTCCTTTTCCTCCTGGGACGGCCTCATGGGGAAGCCACCCCTGCCCTGTGCTCCCGGGGCTCTCAGGGCACAGCCCCAAGAATCCACGGTGAGGATTGCTGGTGAGCTGACTCATCCGTCTGCCCCCAGGGCCTGAGCGCTCCGAAGGCACAGACTGCACCTTTCCATTTGTTAAATGAAGATGAAACCTCAAGCACTCACAATTTACACGGTGAGTCAGTAGGCGAATGGGTGCCACGGGCAGAGCACTCTACCTTCTGACTGCACGATCCACACGCAGGCCCAGTGCCAGTTTCGGCTGTACTAACCTCCAAGTATCAATGCTACAAAGCCCACTTAAATATTGAATCAAGAGTTTTAACTTTAATGTTTTGTTTCAGTCCACGTCAGCTTTTAAGTCTGTAGCATTTAAACTTCTACTGATATTTTAGCTATCAAACTCTACCGCCAACGAGGGACTTGAACTCACGACCCTGAGATCAAGAGTTGCGTGGTCTACCAACTGCGCCAGCCAGGTGCCCTGAGACCTCTGCAGTTACAAACATTTAGAACCACACCTGGCCTTTTGGGCTGTCCCGCACCTGCCTATTTGCATGCTCACAATATCCCTGTTAGGTCAGATGACTCAGTGCTCGACTCAAGGAAATGTGGGACAGAGACAATCGCTCATTCCTCTGGGTCTCTGGCTGACGCTGCTTCCTGAGGACAGTATCTCATCAGGACAGCTGGCTCCCCCACGTCCAGGAAGCTCTAACAGTATCCTGCAGGGTTCAGGAACTGACTTTCGTTTCACCTGAACTTGATCTTACGGAATTCCCCTATACTGCGGTTTTCCAAAGTGCTTAAACATAAAGGAACCCCTGAGTAAGGCTTCACTATAAATTCTGTGTTAATAAGCCTGTTTTACTGAAAGCATCTGAAAAGCCCAACAAGGGGAGGCCGGCTGGTTCAGTCCGTAGAGTGTATGGCTCTTGATCGTAGGGTTGTGGGTTTGAGTCCCATGCTGGGTGTAGAGATTACTTAAAAATAACATGTTATAGGTTTATTTATTTATTTTTTTTGAAGATTTTAGTTCTTTATTTGAGAGAGAGAGAGAGAGTGAGTGAGACATCACAGGAGGGGGTGAGATGGGGGTAGGCAGACTCCCCACTGAGCAGGGAGCCCACTGCGAGACTTGATCTCAGGACCCCGAGATCATGACCCAAGCCTAGGGCAGACGCTTAGCCACCTGAGCCACCCAGGCGCCGTGTAAAATAACATCCTAATGAAAAATAAAAAAGGCCAACGAGGGGATGGTATCTAACAGCTGTGGCACACAGCGTTCTAAAACAGCATGCTGACACTATCAGCAGGAGGTGTCCCCACACACCCACCGGCGACCGCTCTCCTATCCCCGGACGTTCAACCTGAGCACTGAAAAGAAGAACCAACCGCTGCAGCCAGCAGGCAGCGGTTTACAGGCAAACAGGTTCAGGAAAAGGGGTGAGGCACTTGCATCGCTCTGACAGAGTGGCCTTTCCAGGCCCATCAGATCATCCTGCTTACTCAGGGTCCAACCCTGGTATCAAGGTGCCTGACCCGAGCTTCGTTTTTGTTACACTACTGGTTAAGGGACCCAAAACTTACTTGTCTGGAATGACCGCCGAGAGAACAAATATGAGGATGATGACATCGAGGCTACCCCCGGGCACTGGGTAAGTTGCGTCTTCATCACACAGATCGTGAACAAAGGCAAAGCACCGATAAGGATCATATGCTGAATTTGTCTGCACAGTTGGAAGACCACAGGTTAGAAAATGTTCACACACACACACACACACACACACACACACACACACGAGCCCAGAGGAAAGCTTATCTTGCTTTAAGTGTAACTGCAGCTACTGCCTGCCGAGGGTTACTGCCCTAATCACGAAGGCGTGCATTCTGACTCAAAGGCTAAGAACGCCCAACAATTCCAGGGAGGAGCCTGTGGAATCCAAGTGGCATTTCCATTTTATTTATTTATTTTTAAAGATTTTATTTACTTATTTGACAGACAGAAATCACAAGTAGGCAGAGAGGCAGGCAGAGAGAGAGAGAGAGGGGGAAGTAGGCTTCCTGCTGAGCAGAGAGTCCGATGCGGGGCTCGATCCCAGGACACTGGAATCATGACCTGAGCTGAAGGCAGAGGCTTTAACCCACTGGGCCACCCAGGCGCCCCATTCATTTTATTTATTTTTTTAAACTTTTTTTTAAAACAAGATTTTATTTGAGGGAGAGAGCAGAGCGAGTGAGAGAGCACGGGGTGAGGCAGAGGGAGAAGCAGACTCCCAACTGGTCCTTTTTTTTTTTTTAAAGATTTTATTCATTTATTTGGGAGAGAGTGCACGTGAGAGAGAGAGCATGAGCCGGGGAGAGGGGTAGAGGGAGAAGGGAACCAGACTCCCCGCTGAGCAGGGAACCTGATGTGGTGGCTCAGTCCCAGGACCCTGGGATCATGACCTGAGCTGAAGGCAGATCCTTAACCCACCGAGCCACCCAGGTGCCCGCAACCCCCCAAAATGGTACTTTTAAAATGGAATGTTTTAGGGGCACCTGGATGGTTCAGTTGATAGAACATGTGACTCTTGATCTCAGGGTTGTGAGTTCAAGTACCATGTTGAGGGTACAACTTACTCAATTTTAAAAAATGAATGAATGAATGAATGAATGGGGGAGGCGCCTGCGTTGCTCGGTTAGTTAAGCATCTGACTCTTGATCTCAACTCAGGTCATGATCTCAGGGTTGTGAGATGGAGCCCTGTGTTGGGGTCCATGCTGGGTGTGGAGCCTGCTGAGGATTCTCTCTCTCTCTTCTCCCTCCCCCACCCCCACTCTCACACACTTGCAGTCTTTAAAAAAAAAAAAAAAGAATGTTCTTGATTATTCTTTTATTTAATTATTTATTTTTTAAAGATTTTATTTATTTGACAGAGAGAGACCTAGTGAGAGAGCGGACAGAAGGAGGGGGAGTGGGCGAGGGAGAAGCAGGCTTCCCGCAGAGCAGGGAGCTTGATGAGGGGCTTGATCCCAGAACCCTGGGATCATGACTTGAACCGAAGGCAGATGCTTAACGACCGAGCCACCCAGGAGCCCCTATTCTACTTTTATTCTTTATTCTTACTCTGATGCACAAAAATTAGATTTGAAGACTGCAAAGTGCTCAGGGAGGTAAATGGCCACAAGGAAAAAGAAAAATCTCATCAGGAGAGAGAGAAAACACACTGACACCAAAACATTTAAAAGCATGATTTAAAACAACTCCCAACCCAACTATAGCATATTACACAGATCACAGAATTCTCCAGGAAAACCTATTAGATGTGGAAAATTTAACTTTATATTTTGTCCTGAAATTAACAAAAGATAAAAATATAAATAAATTAACTAAAGAGAAGTCTCAATATCCAACTGGTCTAGATCCATAAAAGTAACTCACTCCAGAAAGACATGGAGTTACCAACTCTGGAGCTCCTGTGCTAGGAGCAGATAGACATGATTGTAACAGACTTATTTTAGGGTAATTTCTCTTTCTGTATCTCTCTTCTCCAAAAATGTGACTTCGCTTCTCACTGGCCACAGCTAATTCAAACAGGGCAAGTAGATTACCAGCTTGGCCAGGTCAACCAGACTCTTTCTGGGGACTTTGGAATCAGGACGAGCCGTTCTGGTGAGGTTCTGAGAATGCCTGAATGGGGTAGATGTGTAAGGGGCAGGTATGTCGGGATCATGTGAAAAACCTATTACGGAAAGCTGGTCTGTAAAGAGGAGAACAAAGGACAAATGGGCTGTGGGCTATGTGAGATACGAAACCATGAGCTTGAGGGAGTTACTGTGACAGGAAGAGGAGGGAGTAGTAACATGTCACCAGGTAGTCAACCTTCCTTGGTATCTGCCACCTCTTCAGGGCTGAGTGACAGCCCTAGCTACACTTTATGCCCTTGGGTTCTAGGACCTTCTCTTTCATTGACTGAGTTGGTCTAGGTGTTTCTGTGACTTGTAACTCAAAGAACCCTGACTAGAAACAATCTTCTCATTTTAATACTTAAAACCTACGTTTACAGAGGTCAGGACACCTGCCTGAAGCTCCACAGCGGCCAGTGACACCTTCCAGGTTCACGCTTGGTTCTTTCCTCTACTCCCAGCTGTTTCAGTAAGTCTTTTACTTTCAAACCACATAAGAATAATAAAAATTTGCTAGAGACCTTGATTTTTAAGAGACCCTTTCCTCTTTAATCAGAGACAGTCACAGACAGGAACTACTGCACTTACCCGGACCAGTTCTATGGCTGTGGAAGAAAAATCACAACAGTAAACAAAGAGTCCGGGATCACTGAAATGGGCAGAAAAAACAGAACAATTAAGACTAGAAACTGAATTATTTCTGTTTTCTCTCCTGTGTAGCAAAGTTAAAATATCAAAGGCATCAGATATTAGCAGTCAAACAGGTTTTGAAGCTCACCAATTTTCCTGATGACAAAGATAACTTAGAAATTGACACCTCCTGTCACCCATGGTTCCCAGTAACCACTATTACCAGTCTGTTGCAGTAAGTTTTGAGAAACAACACACCCCTTTCTCCTCTTTGCTGTCCTATAGTTAAACTTTACAACACACTTACTTGTTGGTTTGTAAAATCGGAAAGACTGTGTTTCCCACACCACAACCAACCTGCAGACAGAAATGAACTTTTAGTTACAGGACTTTCCAAAGAATGAATTTTAATTCCCTAGCGCTAGATAAATAATCAACAATAGATAATCTTGCTTAATTGTATTAGTAGGAAAGGTACAGTGACCACAGTTGAATAGTACCCATGACAATCCTTGACCTTGACCTCAGGAAGTTTAAAAAGAGGTAGCCATAAAAGACAAAAGCATGGGCTCTTGATAGCAGAAGGGAGCTGATGTGGAAAAAAGGGCATGAATTGCTTTTACTTTTTGAGTTTTAGCAAATGGTCCTATAGATGAAATTTTTTTTTTCTTATTAATACAGTATTTATTTGTCTTCCCTGTCAAACCTGAGCCAACCACTTGCCCCAGGCTGCCTGGGAGGTATAGGAAAAGGAACATACAGGACAGACGAGACACAGAAAGACCTATGGGAGGCGGAGACAGCTCCTCCCCATAATGGAAGAGGAGAAAGGCCACCATCAGGCAAAAGAGCCCCATGGCCTCTGAGACGGCAACACCCAGAATGGCATGGGAGAAGAGCTGCTGCTTCAGAGAGGGGGCATGACCAGTGATGAGGTTCCCAAACAGTCCCAATTCCAGCCCCAGAGCCAGTCTCCCTGACCGTGGCAGCCCCAGCCGCAATGAACTTGGCTACCGTGTCGATGTCCGTTGAAATGGCATTGATTTGGAAGCTGCAGCTAGTAGAGAGGTCAGGGGACGTGGGGCTGCCGAGCTGCTAGGCTCTCATCTGTCAGTGTCTCCGGAGCTTTCAGCACCGCTGCAGTGATCTGCTCAACAGCTGAGAGGTGCACCTGACCAAGGAGGGGTTGGAGACGATCTCTGCACAGGTGTACATTTTCCGGGGATGAGGGGCTATGGCAGGAGAGCCGCTCCCGGTGCAAAGACAGAGAGAGCAGATAAAATATTTTCTTACCGAACGGCACTGTATCATTATTGGAAACATGCTTCTCAGACTTAGCAGAAAAATTCATGAAAAGGGGATCATGGATCACAGTGTCCTAAACATGGTGCTGGATGTCCTAATAACAGTGACCATTTGGGAATGGGTGCCTGACCCTTGGTTTCCGCTGAGGTCATGATCTTGGGGTCATGGGATCGAGCCCTTCATCAGGCTCTGTGTTCAGTGCAGAGTCCACTAGAAATGATCTCCCTTTCCCTATCCCTCTGCTTCTCCCGTGCTTTCACGCATGACCTCTTTCTAAAATAAATGAATGAAATCTTTAAAAACAAAACCAAAAAAACCCCCAAACGCAAAAAAGACAGCACCCATTTACTAAGGCCTTACTACATGCCAGGCACTATTGTTAGCCATTTTACATCAACATCTTAATATATGTAATTCTCATAACCGCTGTGAGGCAGACGGAGAGGGAGAAGACCCCTTCTGCTTGGGGAGGAGAAGGGATTAGGAACAAGGTCAGGGCTAGAGTACTTAACCCCAAGGCTAATCAGCCTCCGGTGGAATGCAGAGTCACCACTTACAAATCTGCATGACAGTCCCTACCCAGACACATTTCCAGGTCTAGCCTGGCCTCAGCACCAACATGCACACGAAGAAGACAAGAATTCTCCTCTGCCTGAGAAGCAGGCACCATCCCAACCAACCCCCTCCCCACCCCAGGACTCCTCCAGTGGCTGGTAGAGCAAGATACGACAACGTTCGGATGCAAGAGGAGGTTCCCGGGAAGCACCTCAGGTGATCTACCTTTGTCTGCCACAACACCCAGCTATCTGTACTGAATTCAGGGCATGTCATTAGTTCCAAAGTGGAGGTGTTTCTAGGCCAACCTAAGGGTCAGTGCTAGTCAGCGTCTTCAGGAAGAATCACTTTTGGGGTCTGCCTCTCCAGGCCGAGCACGTGTACAAGAGAACAGCCTCATTAGCCCCACCATCAGGACAACAGAGGGGGGTTACCTCAAGTATTCTTTTTTTTTTTTTTAAAGATTTATTTGAGAGAGAGAGAACGCACGTGAGAGAGAGATCACAAGTAGGTGGGGGGGGGGAGGGGGGAAGCAGGCTCCCCGTTGAGCAACGAGCCTGATGCAGGGCGCGATCCCAGGACCCTGAGATCATGACCTGAGCCCAAGGCAGAGGCTTAATCCACTGAGCCACCCAGGCGCCCCTACCTCAAGTATTCTGTAGGTGGCTGAGGACCCAGGGAACTCATCGGCACGGATTTCCAGGTGACTGAGTTTCCGAGTCACATCTTCTTCCAAAGGAGGCATCTGTGTTTTATGTCCAAGGCTATCTGAAGAACACGTGTGCTGTTCTTCTGTTTTTAAACCAAGTCCCTCCTCTTTGCTCCTACCTTCGGGTACTTCACTCCTCTTGTTCTCTGAGAGCCAATCATTCAAGTCATTGTGGTTTGGGTTAGGTGCCAACTCCGGGAATTCAGTGAAAAGCCAATGTCTATCCTTGAAAAACCCGTTTTCGTGGATTTTGTAGAACTCGTTCCAGTATTTGTGGGCATTGACTTCATAATCAACTGTAAATATTAAAGAAAGAATTTAAAAACCCATCTCTTGGTATTTTATGTACCCTTAATGTCAAATGTCATTCTGCTTCACTGAGTGTCATTTTATATCAAAAGCATCCTCAAGTGGCGCCATCATCTCAGAGCTGGAAAGCTTATAGTCCTAACCACCTACCCTATCTGAATTCCCTCTGCATCTTGTCCTTCGAGGGAGGAACGTCTACCAGGGAACTTTCTACCAATTCTTCACGCACATCTCTGGGTGACTCTTAGCTATTAGAAAATTCTAACATTAAGGAAAAAAAAATTCTGACAATTAAGCAAAAAAAAAAAAAAAATCTACCTTCTGGTCAGAAAGTCCTACTATTTCTTATGGCCACACAGAACAATTCTCTTGTATTTAAGGGCAGTTATTTTCCCCCTCTAAACCCTTTCTTTTACAGGTGAAATGTTCCAGGTTCTTCAGTCATTCCCCATGTGAACTCAAGTGTTAATGACACATACGGCTCTTCTTTACATACACTCCTCTGTCTGCGGTTTTTATTGAGTGTGGAGCTAAGAAATGAATTTGATACTACTAAAAGATCCTAAAAACAGGAACAAGGCTAAAAGGAAAGGAGAAATGCTGAGAAGAGGGAAAAATATCTTCAGATGATTATAGAGTTTAGATGAGAGAGGACAGGAGAGACTTAAGAAAGGTAGACTGTTTCCATTGTAGTTTCAGGTGATCAAGGCAGTGGCAAGTCCTAGACTTCAGTTTTCTCTTTGCAATACAGGGCCTTGACGAGAATAGAGGAAATGGAAAAAAAAAAAAAAATCTAAGAAATCGGATTTTAGTTTTTCCACTCCTACTACTATCTAACTGCTTACCTCTGGGTAAGGCACTTAATGTCCTGTGGTCCAAGTTTCTTTAACTGTAAAAAGAGGATATTGGACTACATGATTTTCAAAATCCCTTTCAACTCTAACTTACTTTGATCTATCTAGTTTCTGTCAAACTATGTAAGGTGAATATTTTATAACTGGAATCTTCTAATTGCTATAGGGAACTGTGGGATACTACTCTCCCAATTTCAAGTCCTACTTGCAAATTGTCTTTTAGGACATAGGCTCAGCCAGGCCTAGTTTCAGTATCTAGAGATATTTTGCAATGAAATCACTTGCCTCTCCAGAAGGGGTCTCTTTTTTTCTTTGGCCACACTTACCTACACTCCTCTTCATCCAGTTTTCCTTGGCAGAAGCCCTAAAACCTCACAGCCATCACACCAGTCATTAGCTCCCTCCCCGAATAAATTGAGAATCTGATCGCTAGACACTAGCTTCAATCACATTTCCTCAGCCAAAAAAGTGTAATCATATAGACGAAGTAGAGCCTCTAAGTTGACCATGTGACCACACGCTCGGATAGTCATATTAATATGGGTCTAGTCGACTAGCTAAAAATTAATCGGTAGAAAATCAAGATAGTTACTCCCTCTCAAATAAAGCCAAAACCAAAACTCCCCCTTCGCCCTAACAAGATTTCAGGGTGAAACTTTTTTGCGTCCTCACCCATCCCCTCCCCTCCCGTTCTACCCCCGACTTCGGGGTCAGTCTTGGCGATCTAGGTTCTCTAGCCTCTCGGGGAGAGCGCCTCGAGCAGTACGCTGGCTGCTGCTACCACTGAGGGCCCACCTAAGCGCACCTTGCTTCTCCTGGCACACCCGCGGGGTACTGTTCTCCTGGACTTTCCTCTCCGCTGCGGCGGCCTGCTCTTCTGACCACTCCACATTGTCCCTGGGAAAATCAAACAGGCAGCTTAGGGGCCTCACGTTCCAGCTGCGGGCAGGATAAGTCTCTGGCCATGCAGCGCCTCTCCCGCGGAAGGACAGCGCCTCAAGCAGGGCAGCGGGACTCGTGGCCCGCGATCAGGGGATTTTCAGAGCACACGGGGATGCGGGACAGAGGGCGAGCCGCAGATCGGACGAGGGGTAGGGCGGTTACCAGGCATTATGGTGGAAAACGCGCGCCGGATCGCTCAGGAATCTGCTCCCAAACTGTTGCCGCTTCTCGCCGACAGCAGCCGGAGCGCATTCAGGGTAGGAGTCCGCCATGACACCGGAGCCGGATATGCCTGCCTTTCACACACGCGAAAACTTCCTGCGGGGCCACGCCCCCTCCGGAAGTCGCGGGATCTGGGCGGGAAAAGAGCAAGGAGGGGCGGGGCAGTTCTGAACTCCCGGGTCTAGGTTGGAGCTGGAGCTCCGCCCTGGGGCTGGGGGGGCCCTGAGTTGGGAGGCGTTCTCCCGGGAAGGGGCGCTCGCCCACAGATTTTCTCTGAGCTGGCTTTCTCCCTTCCCGGCAAAGGGGCTGGAGGCGGTGCAGGCCCGTACGGAAGTGGGAGACAGGGATCCCTGGGTGGCTCAGTCGGCTAAGCGTCTTTGGCTCAGGTCATCTCAGGGTCCCGGGATTGAGTCCCACAGGAGGCTCCCTGCTCAGTGGGGAGCCTGCTTCTCCCTCTGCCTGTTGCTCCCCGCCCACACCGTGCTTGTGCTCTAATAAATAAATAAATAAAATCTTAAAAAAAAAAGGGGGGGGTGGGGAGGCATTGCACTTGAGCCTCCTGTCTATGCTGGGATCCTCTAACAGGTTTCCCAGTTTCTCTCAAGTTTTAAGACGGGAAATATCCTGAATCACTTTGACAATTAAGGGTGCCTAAGTTCCATAGGTCCATTTAGACCCGATGGCGGAAGAATTTAAGGAAAATAGCAAGCTGGCTGAGGAAATAGGACAGTTTTCCAGCTTCTGTAGTCAGCTTTTCATACTGTGAAAAGCTATGAAAAAGAATAAAAGAATACTATTTTTCTGGGGAAGGCGGGGTATGGAATGAATTCTGAGGACATGAGGTTCATTTATATAATTATATAATTTTTAAACTTTTCTGAAAGGTTATTTGAGAGAAAGTGAGAGAGAAAGAGGGAGGAGCAGAGGGAGAGAGAGAGAAGCAGTCTCCCTGCCAATCAGGGAGCCCAATGAGGGGCTGGATCCCAGAACTCTGAGATCATGATGCTTAACGGACTGAACCACACAGGGGCCCCTATAATTATATAATTTGTAACCACCTACTTTTTTTTTTTTAAAGATTTTATTTATTCATTCTGACAGAGATCACAAGCAGGCAGAGAGGCAGGCAGAGAGAGAGAGAGAGAGAGAGAGAGGAGGAAGCAGGCTCCCCACTGAGCAGAGAGCCCGACGCGGGGCTCGATCCCAGGAGCCTGAGACCATGACCTGAGCTGAAGGCAGAGGCTTTAACCCACTGAGCCACCCAGGCGCCATGTAACCACCTACTTTTTGGAATTATCCATACCCAAGCTTGTTCACACAATCAGGACTGTAATATAATACAGTTTGTTATACTAATAATTTTCAGCCTTACATTTGTTTCAATAATTACTATAAACTGATTCTGGAAAGAATCTATAAGAAAGTATCCTGTTGATATAAAGTTAGTTGAGAAGAGTTCCAGGGGAGTAAGGACTACCATTTGGAGTAAGTTAAGGAAAGGGTTAATTAGTTATTTAAGTGGTGCAGTACTAGACAGCCCACTGGTAACGAGTGATCATTTACTTAATTGCACATTCTTTCCATAGGCAAAACTGAAGGGAGCTATGAGAGATTGTGTATCTTTCTCAGAAAAGAAATGCGAGCAAGCCCTAAACCCTCCTAATCACAAAGAAAAATATGTGAGTGAATCGAAAAGATAAGATAGTAAAGAACTTGTACCTTATTTGAAAACATGTTTGCCATTCTCCTAGTCTTTTGAAACATTTTGAACAAAAACCTCCTTTCCAAAAAACAAATACAAGGATTTTTATCTTTTCTCAAGGCCAGTTGTTTGATAGAGTGGTTGGTTTTATTTATTCTTGGCATCTTGTTCTCTCTTTCGCATGCTTTTTTTTCTCCCTATACCAAAACCTGTTATTTTTCTTAGTCAGCAATCCTACCACATATTTTCTTGCATGGGGCTCACTGTCTGTTTTCCCTTGAAGTCATTTATTATATTAATTTCAATAATTAGTCATTTAAATGGTCAACCAACTTGGGCCCTTTTGATGAAATGTGATAAAAGATCCTAAACTTAATTTTTATACAATTGTTTTTGGTTGACCTGTACAACTCACTTTTCTTCATCTTTTGAAGCACCTAAGATCATTTTTCTGAAGAAATTTGGAAGACATGTGTGGGCATCTTTTGTGGTATCAGACTATATACTACTTCAGCAATACTTTTCCGGGGACCTATGGGTCCCTCTGGTGGTGAGCCTCCAGAGCTCTTCTAGCTGGGAGGTGTGAGTTCAAAGCCTGGAAAGGTTAACAGCTCTCAGTCTGGATTATTGCCTTGGGTGTCAACCTGGGACAGGAGTAGTTAATTATTTCATGCCTTTCTTTCAGTTCCAATCAGTGGAAATTCTGGTCTGTTTAAGCATGTGCTCTGGAACTGAAAGGTGGGGGAAGGGTGTCCTAATTTGTTCTTAAAGTTTCATGGAACAAGCAGGAGCCCTTTTAGGGTATTATTAGAATTGAATACTCTGGTTTTACAACTTTAAACAGACTTTGTGGGTTTTTTTTTTATTGCAAAATAAATATGTGTTTATTGTAGAACATTTAGACAAAAGAAAAAAAGAAACTATCCCATTCCATCTTTAATCCATTAAACACTTTGATTTATATCCTTCCAGTCTTTTATTCTAATTGATTTATACAAGTAACTTTTGAGTTAAAATAGTTTCAGAGTTGCATTATGCCCTTTTTTTTTCAGAGCTTCATTGAGGTTTAGTTTACATACAATTAAATTCATCTATGTTAAGTGTTCGGTTTCATACATTTTCATAAAAATCTGTATCTGTGCAACTACCATCATTATTAGGTTTTAGAAAAACCCCATAAAGTTTTCTCATGGCTCTGAGCAGTTGTAGCCTACTTTATAACTTGATAATAGTTTGTGAATATCATTCTTCTGCTTGAATGTTTTCTTTTCTTTCTTTTCTTTTTGAATGTTCTTTTCTAACATTGTTTTAATGACCTTGGTATTGTATTATAGAGCTGTACATGATTTGCTGGACATCAGGCTACGTTAAGCTTCTCACTATTAAAAATCCAACATGATAATCATCTTTATAAATCATTTTTAAATCATTTGTATGTTCATGATTACTTCTTTAGGGATAATTTCTAGAAGTGGAAGTACTGAGTCAGTGGTTATAATTAGCTGCATTACTCAGCTGTGAGGTCCGGGCATTTTCTCTGTTTCTTTACTGTTATACATCCAAGTCCTAGAACAGGGGCCAGCACACAGTATGCAACTCAATAAATAATTGTTGAAGGAATGGCTGGATACCTGTTGCTATACTGTATTTCATTCGCAAGATGCCAGTTTCTACTGTCAACACAGTGTGGGACAGACTGATAGACTGTATTATTATACATCGTAGATTTTCCAGGACAGATAGACTTAAAAATATTCTGTCCTGTTATCCCATTGATCCAAGAAAATATTTCAGGAATTTTAATATTTCGTCATCCAAATTATATCTCTTAGATGGCCTATTACAGTCATAGTCATACCAAAAAAAAAAAAGTGTGAAACCATAAATCTTGTTTTTTGGGTAGGAAACAGTGGTCACTTGTTTTTAAGATTCTTTAAAAAATATTTTATTTATCTTAAAAATATTTATTTATTTGACAGGGAGAGAGAGAGAGAATACAAGCAGGGGGAGCGGCAGGCAGAGACAGAAGCAGGCTCCCTGCTGAGCAAGGAGCCCTACGTGGGACTCAATCCCAGGACCCTGAGATCATGACTCAGCTAAGGCAGACGCTTAACTGACTGAGTCACCCAGGCATCTGAAGATCTTATTTATTTGAGAGAGACAGAGTGAGCAAGAGAGAGCATGAGCAGGGGGAAGGGCAGAGGGAGAGAGAGAAGCAGACTCCTGGCTGATCAGGGAACCTGACATGGAGCTCAATTCCAGAACCCCGGGATCACGACCTGAGCTGAAGGCAGACACTTAACTGACTGAGCCACCCAGATGCCCCAGGGTTCTCTTTATCAACATCATAATATTGTAAAGAATGTCAACTATATTTAGACAGTTTTAAATATTCAAGGTTAACACAAATTTACTTCAAGTGCGTTTCATGAAATAGTTTCAGGAGCCTTCACTATCTTCTTGCCTTTTTTTTTTTTTAAAGATTTTGTTTATTTGACAGACAGAGATCATAAGTAGGCAGAGAGGCAGACAAAGAGGGGGGGGAGCAGGCTCCCCGCTGCGCAGAGAGCCCGATTCAGGCCGATCCCAGGACCCTGGGATCTTGACCTGAGCCAAAGGCAGAGGCTTTAACCCACTGAGCCACCCAGGCACCCCTATCTGCTTGCTTTTTTCTGGAATGGTATGATTTTATATTATAAGCCACTGTCTCCATCAATATGGAACACGTCTTTTCCTTTTTCTAACAGGAAAAAAAAAATGTAACGGACGATAATCCCTAAACAGAATTAAAATGGTAAATTTAAGCGTATTTTTCTACAATACAAAAGTACAAACTTGTAATAGTTATACATGTGCATCTTTACTAAATACACTAAAGAACGACAGCAACCAGGGTTGTGGGTGAGATCAACTATTTTTAGTGGGATCCAGGAGATCAGCCTAATGACATGTGACAAAGGAGCCTTAGGAACACCTAAATTTAATCAAGATTCCCTGGGAGATGGTGATACTGTTCCCTGGAACTGAAAGATCATTGTCATCTGCTGCCTGTGGCCTCTTTTACAAATAATCAAGAACCTAGTGTCATTTATGGTCACATAAACTCAGATGCTTATTACTGGGAGAACCCTTAGGGGCTCACAGGGGCAGCCCTATGTTGTAAGTGCCGGTTTTCTGCTTTCCTCCTTCTGTCCAGGCAGTTTCGAGCCAGGTGGGGGCAGCAGAGCGCAGCTGTTTGCTGGGGAGATAACCGCATGACTTCTGTTTACTTGTTAAGAATAAGGAAAGGGAAACCACATTATGACTTAAATTTTTTTACTGGTCAGAATTCAAAAGATGTCAATATTTCCAGCTGCTAAGAATGTACTAGACAAAAGCAAGAAACCATAAGTATGATATCTATGAAAAAGTAGTTTGTAATGAGCTGTTTAGAAAATGTAGAAATTTCATTGTCGGAACCCTCTGGAACTTTTCCGTTTTCTTTTTCTTCCTGTCTCTATGTCACATTCACTGATATCCGAGGAAGAAGAGGATACAGAGTTGTGGAAGGTGTTCCTATTCATGTAGGCATCATATAACCTTAAGTCCTTCCGCGAAAGTAATTCTTGGCAAACATTCCAGGACCATGTATAGGTAGAAAAGGTGTCATAAAAGGCCTCATTTTTAGTGTTTATTCCAATCAGATCTCCTCGGATCTTCCGCCAGAGGTTTAGCATGTCTTTCCGGTGCTCAAGGGCAATTCCCAAGTTATAGGCCTCTGTAGCCCTCTTCACCTGCAGTGAGAGAGCAGACATTTGCAGTAGTTACGTGAACATACCTTTGATTTATGAACCACAATTGTAGATATCCCAAAAGTTACCTTCCCCAGGCTAGTTGAAAATCACTGAATTTATACATTGGGTGGAACCTCTGAAGGACGTGGGAGTTAGGAGTTGAAGGACAATCAACATGTATGCTTTGGGAATAATGAGATGACATTTTATGACAATATTAAAAACACAATAAGCTAAACCAAGGAGGAAAGGGGGGATGGAGATAGTCTCTAGATATAAAAGGAGTGTCTAGAATGGCACTCAATCCCACCCAGGGCAGGGAGGAAGAAGATACTGAGAAGTTCCTCAAGGATCTGACCAGATTGAGGGAGCAGTGGTGATGGGGAGGTATTCCAGGGAAAGGAGACAGCATAGACAAAGGGACAGAGGTAATACACCTCTGGAGTTGGTGGGAGGCACAAGCATGCACTGCTAAAGTGTTAAGTTTTGAAAGTGAGAGGGAAGGAATGATGCAGGTAAGGCAGGCAAATCATTGTCTGCTGTAATGGCCCTTTGACTTGATCTCAGCAAGGCTGACAGAACCCTTCTCTTGGTGGAAATCATGCTGTAGTAAGCCAGTGTTTCTTTTTTTTTTTTTTTCAATTTATTTGACAGACAGAGATCACAAGTAGGCAGAGAGGTGGGCAAAGAGAGAGGGAGAAGCAGGCTCCCCGCCAAGCAGAGAGCCCGATGCGGGGCTCGATCCTAGGACCCTGGGATCATGACCTGAGCCGAAGGCAGATAAGCCAGTGTTTCTGACGGGAAGTGAGACAAATCTCAGTGTGTGGAGCAGAAAATATACTTAAGAAATCCTGCCCTTAGGGCGCCTGGGTGGCTCAGTGGGTTAAAGCCTCTGCCTTCGGCTCAGGGCATGATCCCAGGATCCTGGGATCGAGCACAGCATCATCGGGCTCTCCGCTCAGTGGGGAGCCTGCTTCCCTTCCTCTCTCTCTGCCTGCCTCTCTGCCTGCTTGTGATCTCTGTCAAATAAATAAAACCTTAAAAAAAAAAAAAAGAAATCCTGCCCTTGTCGAGAGGGGAAGATTCATTTGTAAGCAGGACAGGGACGTCGTTGTATTTTCACGGTAGATCATTAGCAGCTGTGTGGAGAAGGGGTGGAGGGGATGAGCTGCGAGGCAGGGATGGGGGTTGGAAGGTATTGTCCAGGCAAGACCGAGTGAGGGCCTTAGTTAAGACAGCGGCAGTTAAGGCAGCATCCTTCATTAAGGATGAAGGGGAGGAATTTGAAAAATCTTCGAGAGAACGCGAGTAGCCACATTTAGTCACAGGTGGATGTAAGGAGTGAGGACAATATATAAATTCGGATGATTCCTCGCCTTCTAGTTTCACTGACAGGGTAGGTAGTGGTATCAACACTTGATGTCACCAAGAACCCCCAAGCGAAGAGTGAGTCTGATGCAGATGATGAGTTTGGCTTGGACGTGCAGAGTGTGGTATGCTGAGACAGTGAGGTAGAAATGCTCGTCAGGCAGTGAGAGAAGTCAAAAGTACTGGAGAGAAGTCTAGGCCAGTGACAACTTTAAGATTTATCAGTATACAAGTGGCAGCGGAAACAAGGGGGGTCGACTGAGATCGTTCGAAGAATACTTGCCCCAGCTTTTCCTCACTTAACGCAGAGATCCCCAATGTTTGCCTGCTCCTTTGTGGCATGCAGTACTAGCCACCTGTAGCTTCATGTCCCCGTATCTCCTTATCCCTACACATGTGGCCTTCTCACTCACCCTCGCTCCAAGCTCATGGAGGGCAGGAGCTATGTGTTTTTTTCTCCCTATGGTATCCCCTAATCCTGGAACTTTGTTCTAGGATTAGGGGATGCTATTTATACGTTAGAACTAGGTTCTAACGTATAAATATTTATGAAATATTTATTTTATTTTATTTTTATTTTAAATATTTACTAAATATATACTAAATAACATAAAAATATTTACTAAACAAATGAATAGATGAATGCCTATAATGGGAGGAGCAGCAGGATGGGACTAGAACACAAAGAAATATCAAGACTAAAGGGATGAACATTCAGGAAAGAGAAGCGAGAGGAAGGGACACAGAGCCGCGAGATGCAGTGTTGTAAAGGCCAAGGAAGTAGAAAATGTCAAGGAGAGCTTGATAACTAGTGTCAAAGGCAAGAGGGAGGCAGCATGAGATACACACACCCTGGTCCGTCTCTGGGAAGCACAAAAGTTGCTAGGGTACAAAAGCAGACAGGCGACATGGAGTTGTGGCTAAAAGTGTGGATTCCAGAGCCAAGCTGCTCGTGCTTATATTTCTGGCTCTATGACTTCCTCTGTTACTTCTGCCTTTAGACAAGTCAACCTCTCTGTGCGCGTCTATACAATGACAATGATAACAGCACCTACCCGGAAGGAGACTGCTGTGATCAGTAACTGGATTAGCGCCGGTAGAGTACTTGTAGAGTACTTCTAGAGCACTACTGCCTGGCGCCTAAGAAGTGCACTCAAACTCTCCTTTTAGCAGCTATAACCAGTTTTCACGCATCATGTATCTCTTAGCACACCACACTCACTGTGACTGCTGGTTTACTGCCTTAACTATTCCCAGCATGACACAAACAAAGGTCCCAGAAACGATGCTGGGTGTCGTTCCTTGGGTGATTAGCAGGATGAATGGTAACAGTTAATATTTGAATCCATTTGATCATAGAGCAAGAAGCATCATTATGATGGGTAAAAACAAGAGATGGTCTTGTCTTATTTTAAAGACACAGAGCGGAAAAAATATCTTTGGTCTTGGTGGTTGTGATATTGAAGAGGAAAACATTCTGGTCGATGCATTCTGGGAGGGCAGGCAACAGTGAATACTCACATGCTGTTTAATAGCGGCTGCGTCGGTCACGGTCCAGTTCTGCTTCTTCTTGAGTAGTTGGTCAATGGCGAGGATGTCATTTGGGTAGCCTGAGACTGGGTCGAAAGGCTTTATATTTGCTGCCTTTATGCACATTTAAAAAAACAAAGGTTGGTGATATATTTTGGGTTAAATTATATGACAAAGACATAATACACAGAAATATGTCATACTAGGAAGGGGTTTCTATGTGATTTATAAGGTTATTGCTAAGCCACCTGTCTGTTGTTTGGGGACACCTGGTAGAGCACCGTGTGTAACTGAGCATTCAGCACATTCTCTTTCTTAATGATGACGCCTTTCAGAAGTACCAACTGGAAGACGGTTTATGTGTGGAATGGACATGGAGTGTAGAGAGGAGCCAACTCCAGCCTCACCAAATTTCCCAAGCCATCACCAAGCACTGAAAAGTGAAGAAGGTGCCCTCCACAAAGTACAACCTGTATTACTTCCAAACTTGCCCTGGGGAACCAGATGTCCATTTTCCCTGTTCCTGGAAAATGTGGACTCCTTTCTTGGAAAATGTGTAGTTCCCATTCTCATCTGGGCCCTTAGTACTGCTTGACCCTACTTTTCTTCACTGAATGCTGTTAATTCTGTTACAGATCTCACAGCTGTCCTCTTAGTGCCTGCTGGAAAACTGGATCTGCACACTCCCTTGGCTAATGATCATCTCTCCAGGACTAGCTAACATGAATTCTTTTTGCCTCCTCCGTGTGAGAGTTTCTCCTGATTTCCAAGGCCAAAGTCTCCCCCGTGAATCTTTATTAATTCCCTTCCTGGACCATTTCCTTTCAGTTTTCCTTGTTCCATTGCTGGCTTCATGGGTATTTGACTTGTGCCATCCCACAGAACCATGTGCTTAGAAGGGCCCTGAATTTGCTTTATTGCTCTTCTGTTGCAGTCTTCATTTTGCCCTTGGCTCCACAAATAACATAGCCAGTCCTGCCTCTCTACTATGTCTTCAGTTTCTCTCTTTTCCTGTCCTTTTACTTTCAAACTTTATTTTTTAAAAATTTATTTTAGGGGAGACTGGGTGGCTCAGTGGGTTAAAGCCTCTGCCTTCAGCTCAGGTCATGATCCCGGGGTCCTGGGATCGAGCCCTGTGTCGGGCTCTCTGCTCAGCCGGAAGCCTGCTTCCCCCCCTCTCTCTGCCTGCCTCTGCCTACTTGTGATGTCTGTCAAATAAATAAATAAAATCTTTTTAAAAAATTTATTTTATTTTTTTATTATGTTGTATTAGTCACCATACAGTACAACATTAGTTTTTGATGTAGCGTTCCATGACTCATTGTGTATAACATGCAGTGCTCCATGCAATACATGCCCTCCTTAATACCCATCATCGGGCTCACATATCCCTCCACCCCCTACTTTCAAACTTTCTGTGTCATATTTTAGGTATATCTTTAAAGAACAGATATCTGAAAATTATTAAAAATCAGTCTCAGTATCCTTTCTTTTAGACTTGAAAGATGATCCGTTGTCTATTTTTTCTTAATACTTTTTAACCCACTGAGCCACCCAGGCACCCTTAATACTTTTTAATTAAACTAGTATGTTTTAATCTTTTATTGTTATTGATGTATTTGGATTATTCTGCTTATTCTGTTTTGCACTATTATTTCGTGTTTTCTCTTTTTTCTTGTTCTTCCCCCTTCTATTCGAAAGTTATTGATTATAATGATTATTCATTAAATCATTCATGATTACTTTTAATGATTATCCTCACATTTTTAACACTCATTATAAATTTAACAAAATAGAGAAAGCTTTAATTCTGAGTACCACCTTCTTCATCTCCTGTGTCACTCTGGTAAATAGTATTTTAGTTCGTGTTGGCTAGTGATTCAAACCAGTGATTCTTCTTTTCTTTTTTTTATAAAAGATCTATTTCTTTATCTGAGAGAGAGAGTGTGCGCGCGCATGCGCCAGTGCGCCCACCCAGGAGTATGGGTTGGGGCGGGGCAGACGGAGTGGGAGCAGACTCCCTGCTGAGGGGGGAGCCATGTGTGTGGATCCATCTCAGGACTCTGAGATCATGACCTGAACCAAATCAAGAGCTGGATGCTTAACCTCCTGGGCCACCCAGGTGACCTTTATATTTAAATTTAAATAGCCTCTGTGGCTACCATCATTCGAAGACTCAGGTTTAGATGGTGTAGAACCCTGAGTGTTACAGGAGAGATTTTGGCTTTTACTTTGAGTGATATGAAAACCCGTTGGCAAGTTTTGAGCTGATTTTAGCAGAGCCACTTTGGTTGCTGTGTTGAGAACAGACTGCAGAGGACGAAGACAGAACCGACCATTCAGGATGCTACTGACACTCTCTCTGCTGGCTGATATGATTAGAGAAAATCTTGCTCTCAATAAATAAAGACTTTGTATTATAATTTCCTTTCATCCAAAACATACTGAGTCTCCTATGGGCCAGGTTCTGTTCTAGGTGATGGGGATCCCTCAGTGAAAGAAATATACGTAATTTACAATCCTACATAACCTTATATTCTGGTTGGAGAGACTGACAGTAAACAGATACAGATCACAGGTGGAGAAGGGCTTAGTGCTGGGAAATAAATTTAAAGGGGAATAAAGTTCCCCTTATTTCCAACTTGTCAGTGACATCTGCTTGTGGGTATGACTTCATCTGGAGAGATAAATTCAAAGTCTGAAGTTAAGGTCATGTGTGACGGTGATACTCCTCTAGAGTCTTTTGTTTTTTTAAAAGTTTTTATTCGAATTCTGGTTTGTTAACATACGATGTTCAGTACCTGCATACAACACCTGGTGCTCATCACAACAATGTGTCCTCAAACCCCATCACCTATTTAAGCCGTCCTCCTACCCAGCCTGCTTCTGGTTACCATCTGTTTGTTCTCTGTAATTAAGAGTCTGTCTCTTGCTTCTCTTTGTTTCCTCTTCCCTTGTTTGTTTTGTTTCTTAAATTCCACATATAAGTGAAATCATAAGGTATTTGTCTTTCTCTGACTGACTTATTTCCCTTAGCATAATATTCTCTAGCTCTGTCCACATGGTTGCAAATGGCAAGATTTCATTCTTTATGCACAATGGAATAATGTTCAGTCATAAAAATACACACACACACACACACACACCCCACCTCTTCTATATCTATTCATGTATCAATGGACATTTGGGCCGTTCTCATAATGTGGCTATTGTAGATAATGCTGCTATAAACACTGGGGTACATGTATCCCTTTGAATTAGTATTTTTGTATTCTTTGGGTAAATACCTCATAGTGTAACAGCTGGGTCATAGGGTAGTTCTATTTCTAACTTTTTGAGGACCCTCCATACTGTTTCTCCAGAGTGGCTGTACCAGTTTGCATTCCCATCAACAGTACAAGAGGGTTCCCCTTTCCCTACATCCTTGCCAGCACCTATTTTCCCCTAAAATCTTTTTTTTTTTTTTTAAGATTTTATTTATTTATTTGACAGAGATCACAAGCAGGCAAAGAGGCAGGAGAGAGAGAGAGGAGGAAGCAGGCTTCCCGCTGAGCAGAGAGCTCGATGCGGGGCTCAATCCCAGGACCCTGGGATCATGACCTGAGCCAAAGGCAGTGGCTTAACCGACTGAGCCACCCAGGCATCCCCCCCCCCACTTTTTTTTAAAGCTTTTATTTATTTAGAACTAATATTTTTTAAAGATTTTATTTATTTATTTGACAGAGATCACAAGTAGGCAGAGAGGCAGGCAGAGAGAGAGGGAGAAGCAGGCTCCCCGCTGAGCGGAGAGCCTGATGTCGTGCTCCATCCCAGGACCCTGGGATCATGACCTGAGCCAAAGGCAGAGGCTTTAACCCACTGAGCAACCAGGCGCCCCTAGAACTAATATTTTTTTAATGACGAACATTTTTAGTCATTACATTTCAAACCAGATTCCATAGCCACGTTCCTAAATTTAAGGCCAGGTATAAATACTTCATTTAAATTCAGCAAATAGGGCGCCTGGGTGGCTCAGTGGATTGAAGCCTCTGCCTTCGGCTAGGGTTGTGATCCCAGGGTCCTGGGATCGAGCCCCGCATCAGGGTCTCTGCTTCCTCTCTCTCTGCCTGCCTCTCTGCCTACTTGTGATCTCTGTCAAATAAATAAATCTTAAAAAAAAATTCAGCAAATAGCTAAACTTACTGAAAAATACAACCCTAGACTCGGGGTTGGAGGTGGGGAGTATAAGAATAACAATAAAAAGGCCCTCAGATCCTACCTACACCTGCTCTCCCTTCAACCTATCGGCCAGAAGCTCCGTTTTGGGCTCCCTCAACTGGCTCTAGGTTGTGTTTGGGCCAGACACCATGGGATGAGAGGAACAGGTCCACAACTCAGTGGAGCAATCTGTGATGGAGTGGCCATCCTGCTCTTGGACTAGAAGCCTACTTACAGTCCCGGCTACTGGCCTCCTTCAACCTCTGAGTGTTAATGTCTCAGGCAGCAATGCCTTGGTTTCTGGATATTCTCTGAGGAAACTCTGGCCTTACTCCGGGGTTTATGACAGGCCTGCCAGCCTGCAAAACAACATCGAGATTTCACTGGAGGGGCACCTGGGTGGCTCAGTGGTTTAAGCATCTGCCTTCAGCTCAGGTCATGATCCCAGGATCCTGGGATCAAGCCCCGCATCGGGCTCCCTGCTCCGTGGGGAGTCTGCTTCTCCCTCGACTTCTCCCCCTACTTGTGCTCACTCTCCCTCTCTCTGTGTCAAATAAATAAATAAAATCATAAGAGGGAGACAGGAGACTGACTGGAGACCACTGAGGCATCTCTGGGTTCCAGAAATCCATGTAGTGTTCACATCACTATGAAACCTCTTAGAAGGCCCCCCAGGCACAGAGTTTAATAGTCCCTGGGGCTGGGAGCAGGGGGTAACGGGGAGCTGCTAATATCAACAGGCTTACAGTCTCAGTTATGCAAGATGAGTAATTCTAGAGATATGCTGTACAATACTGTGCCTGTAGTTAACAAAATGTATTGTACACCAAAAAAAAATGTGTTAAAAGCATAGATCTCACATTAAGTCTTCTTACCACAGTAAAATAAAAAATTTTTAAAGATTTTAGGGGAGGGGCGCTTGGGTGGCTCAGTGGGTTAAAGCCTCTGTCTTCGGCTCAGGTCCTGCATTGGGTTCCTGGCTCAGTAGGGAGCCTTCTTCTCTCTCTGCCTCTGCCTGCCACTCTGCCTGCCACTCTGCTTGTGTGCTCTCTCTCTCTCTCTCCACCCACCCCCCCGCCACTGACAAATAAATAAATAAAGTCTTTAAAAAAATATTAGTTCTGGGGGTGCCCAGGAGGCTTAGATGGTTAAACATCTGCTTTCAGCTCAGGTCATGATTGAGCCCCACAGTGGGCTCCCAGCTCAGCAGGGAGCCTGCTTTTCCCTCTCCCTCTCTCCCTGCTTGTGTTTTCTCTCTTTCAAATGAATAAATAAAATCTTTTAAAACAAATGAGTTCCATTAAGTTAGAACTTGAAAACCTAAGTACTTAAATTAACTAATGTGGCATAACCAAAATCTTACCTGTGTCTTCCAGTCTCTTTTATGGAAAAAATAGTTCTCAAAGAAATCCAGAGGCTCCCTTCTCCTTAGCATTTCTAATTTCTGTATGTCTTTGAATGGCTTTCCCATCACCACCTCATCCACATTAGGAAACAATGGAAAGATGGGTATTTTGGAATATGGGCTATCTGAAGGAGGACTGCACCCTTAAAAGATAAAAACAAAAATGGTATTACGAACAATGTAAGAAGAAATTCATATAAAGACATACATGTGGTGCCTCTTTTGCTCTTTGTCTAGTCTTCTCAGTGGCCATGAGCCCTCTTTTCACTCTCCTCACCCCCTCCCTATCCGTAGATCCTAGGCTTCATCCAATCTCTAGGCTTCACCTGTATCAGGAGGATACAGGTGAAGATGTAGATTTGCTTTCAAATGATGCCTTTGTGACAGAGGCCAGTCACTCGGAATAGGCTGTGGTCCAGCTTCTTTAGCGCTTGGCCTCTAGTATTTATTTCTGATTAGTAATATACAAACAAGTCCTTTACAATAATGGGGAGGGAACCATTTATCAATCGTTCTTACTCTTGATCTCTTCAAGAAATTTAAGTAAATCCTTTTCTTTCATTATTGAGATCCGGGCAGCATTAGCAAAGGCAGCTGTGCTTGAGGCTGGAGGTGTGCTGATGTCTGGCTTCAATCTCCTTTTCCCATAACCCACAGTGTAGGGACTCCACGGCATTCCCAATGTGGTATCCTGGAATTTTCTTTGGAAATAGCTAAAAAAAGAAAAAAAAAGTAATCCAAGAATGAATAGAAAGTCCTATATAATCCTACTGAAAAAGTGTCTAAGTGTTGGACAAAAAAAAAAAAAAATCCAGTTGCAAGTTATATGCTGAATACACTAATTCTTTTAAAAAAGATTATTTATTTATTTGAGAGTGAGAGAGAGAGCAAGCGAGCAAGCGAGTATGAGCAGGGGGAGGATCAGAAGGAGAAGCTGACTACCGGCTGAGCAGGGAGCCCAATGTGGGGCTTGATCCCTGGGACTCCAGGATTATGACCTGAGATGGAAGCAGACACTTAACCAACTGAACCAACCAGGCATGCCTCCCCGCCTTATGATTTCTTAACTACCATCTTTTTTTTTTTTTTTTTTTTTTTTT